AGTAAGTACTCACATTCCTAATGCATGCTTGGTCGAAATCGGAGTAAAAAGATATAAACTTGCATAAAAACGAGAGTCGCTGAAAATAGTTCGCCGGAAAATACTAAGCTAGAGAGAATCTAAAGGGAAATCTAAAAACAAAAACATTACCAAAAAGAGTAAAGTAGCAAATGAAATCTGGATGTCCCAATTACAAAGGACCAAAACATATATATAGTCCAGCTCCAAAAACACACAGTAGAAACATGCAGATTAAATGACACACTCTCGAGCTCGCGGCGAGTTCCGCGGGTCGTGGACGTGAGATGGCAGGGTCTGGTTCGAGGAACGCACGGGATCGGCGCGAGAGAAGACGGCACTCTCGATCTCGAGGATCAGCTCGCGCGCGCGGATGGAAAGTAGAGCAGTACTCTCGATGTCGCGGCCTAACTCGCCCGCGCGGACGGAAGGATGCGCGGGTCATGGCACGAGGTGGCGCAGGGTAAAATCCATACTCTCGAGCTGGCGGCGGGGCTCGCACGCGCGGACGGCTTGGCGAGAAGGTACTCTCGACGTCGCGAGCGGTTTCGAGCGCGCAGACACGGGTGAAGGCACGAGGAATGGGCTACTCTCGATGTCGCGGTGAGGTTCGCGGGCGCGGACTGCGTGTAGGCGCGTAGACGACACGAGAGCGCGAGTGCAGTGGCGCCGGGGCGCGAGTGTAGTATCTTTGGAGACTTTTGATCGATTTTAACTCGAAATCTTCGGAATAGACTAGCTCAATGGTTCGGAACTTCTCGAAACTGACTCGGAATATTTGAAAATTCTCGCCTCTAGGGATTCGATTCGATTCTTCTCGTCCTCCTCGAAATAAACCTGAAAATAACACCAACAAGCATGGAAAAATACGCCAAGGACACAAAATAAAAGGAAAACACAAAAGAAATACACGAAAAACGATAAAATGGACCGGTCAACGCTAAAACAATCCTAAAACCGACTCAACTATGCGCAAGAAACACATAAAAAGAAACACAAAAACACAATAAACAGTTGTAATCATGGTTCTTCTCAAAGTTAATTGTACACAAACTCATATTGTTCCAAATCGAGGGCGGCGATTTGCGGCACGACTACGACCAGGCGGTGTCTCAGATTCATAGCAAATTATGGTGACACGACTCAAGAAACTCATAGGCGAGCAGTTGCGTCCCTGGCTTAGGCTAATGGAGGCAGGCGGAGGCCGGTGGTCGCGCAACCTGGACCGGTGGATGTTCGGTTATTATGTTTATGTACTGTTATATACTGTTTATGTACAGTTTATATACCATGTATGTACCGTTTATATACTGTTTATGTATATAAACTTAGCTTCTTCTGAGCGTGATGCCCAAATTTATCGGTGGATGTTCGGCTATTCTGTTTATGTACCGTTTATATACCGTTTATTTTGTTGAGAGATGAAGTTGGCTACACTAAAGTAGGTGTTCCATATAAGATTTTACACAAAATATACGTTAGTTAAACATGTAAACTACAGTCGAGGGTGGTGGGAGAGAAACACTTATTTTTTTTTATTGTTAATTCCGTGTTTTTTTCCCCCAAACCCCATGGGAGGTTGAAATTGAGTTTTGTGACAAGATTGTTTGCCTCAATTTTGGGTCGCTTTGCCATTATTGATTATTTTGCAGAGATGGATTTTTTTCGGAGAGATGAAAGATGAGAGCTGATAGATGAGAGATGAGAGAATAACTTTTTTTTTTTGGTGAGAGATGTACTCTGCACACTAAAACCGATATATAGAGAGAGAATTGATTATTTCTTTTCTTCTTTTGAGTGTATAAGTTGGTATATTGCACGTTATCCGAAAGAATTACTTTGTTAAACATTTACGTTAGCATATACGCAACATATTTACCATACAATTACGTTAACACAACATTTACTTTATTAAATAGAACAATACCATCTAAAGGGATATGGATACCCATTTGTTTTCTCTTAATTAAACGCCACATATAGTTATATTGATAAACATCAATGTAGTAAATCTTATGTAATATTATTCATACAATAGAAAAGTAGGTGTTCGATGTAAAATTTTACACAAAATATACGTTAGTTAAACATGAAGTATTCTCAAATAGTACATAGATTTATAAACACAAGAAACTCATCGTATAAAACCAATCTCAATCACGAACTCGCTCGACAACTCATAGTCAACCTTCCAATCGTACGTCGTCCAAGAGAAGTTTCAATTACAAAAATATCTTCGTAACTAGCGAGCCACTGGAATGAACTCACTGTACATTTAAAACAGGGCACAACATGAATGGGTTTTGTAGAGAGAAACACAGGGCACAACATGAATGGGTTTGTAGAGAGAGAGAGAGAGAGAGAGAGAGAGAGTATATGAGTGTGGCTATGGCCTGCACATTCTTGCTCGCCGAAAAATGGATAGGAGTGAAAAGGGGATCCCGTTATCAGCCATTAAACCAAGTAAAATTACTCTTCAGTGAGGATGACAAGGCAAGGTTGTACTGCCTTAAGTTCGTCCTCAACGTCGGGCTTTCGAGGTTGACGACAGCGACATGACCAAGTGCTATACCATCAATAAACATATATAAATTCGGATATCCCCAAATCCAAACATGAACCTTCCAAATCCCTAACAAAGAAGCAGCACATCGATGACCTCAACCTCTCCTTGTCAGGACAGGCGATAAATTATGTTAGGAGNAAACGAGAATGGCGAGGTTTGTGTAGTGGAGATATATTTTTTTAGCAGATAAATATGGTTAGTAAAAGATTTGCACGATCTTCAATTTTAATGGTCAAATAGGTACCATTACATTCCGTTGAAAGAATTTAATGTGTGGCCGTTTTATTTGGTAAGTTGCTTTTGAGTTATATTACTTTAAATAATATAAAACTCGTATATATAAAAATAAGACGTGTCTCTCGTACTCTTAAAAATAAGATTTGAAGTACCCGTAGAGGGAGTAATTTTCTCAAACTATACAACCTCAATTAAATCACGTGGCCAACGATAGTAGGCCTCGTTATACTATTTCATGGGCTTTAAATTGGCTTAATACTATGACATCCAATAATCGGCCCAGAACTCTCTCCCGATGCTTCACGTTCACAAAATACTTTAATGCGCTGAAAATGAATATAAAATAATTAAAGCAAATGAATCCATCCAAATAATAAATAAGTTGAAAAAAATAAGAGTACGATAAAATTAAGCATAAAAAAGTACGCTAATAAATATATAAAGTACACACTTTTTCCGACCAATCAATTTGGATTTTTTATTGCAGGTCTTTTCCTATATTGTTAGGGAAATGGAATCAGTTGCATAATAATAAGATAGACTCCCTCTCTGAGGGGGACTCGCTTCTTTTACCCATTCTCTTATATATATATATATCCGTAGTTGGGATTTGTCGCGGGAAAGTTAGCTATCGGAAACCTCGCCTAGTTATCAAAAGAAAAATAAAAGCATCTTTAAAACCAATATTATTTCGATTAAGAAAAGTTATTCCCAAATAAAATCTAGGAACAAGAAGATTGAATTGTAAATATCTACAAATTCTTTCGAAGTCCAAGGAAATGAAATTTTCTTTTTCTCCCACTTTGCGGTAACTAAATCGTTAAGAATAAGGTAAGCCACCATGAAGGACCAGCTATTATGCCCTTACTGTTCAGATTCTTTTGCTGTCAAAATCAGCACCAATTAGTGATATTTTACTGAATTTCAGCATGAATACAACTGCTGCCTAAGGGAAGGAGCTAAGTCGTACAAAGCTTTTACAATATTTGAAGAATGGCTTTTCATTGCTTTCTTCTTATAATATATCCAAATTTTGCCTGGTGAAGGACAATAAGAGTTTCCGTTGATAACTACTTATCCGTAATGAGGTGCCTTCTTTTCCTTTCCTATACTTTTATTCGTTCATGAAGAAAATAAGAAAAATTAAACACCCAAGATCCAAGAAGTAAAAACTGATCATTAAGTGATTATGAACATGCTTGGATAAGCATAATGTTATCACTGATCATTAAGCGATTACGTGGAATTGCTCATTCCTTTGTTGATGTTACATATGATGGACCTCAAATCCAAATTAAATGGACGCTACTATTGATTATCAAAATACTGAGAGCTAATTAACTACCTAGTTGCTTCATGCTTTTGTAGGATTTCTTTTTCAATGTTACTATTTACTTTCTTATAAAGACAAATAACACATGCACATTAAAAAGACTATCATACAGGAGACATATGAACATGGAAGGCAGTTGGTGGGATATTATTTTCATCCAACTTCCAAATACTTTTTTTTTTTTTTCTCGAACGATAGAATTTATTGCTCCACAGAGAATGTACAATAATCGAAGGCTAATTAGCCATACAAGGCAATCAGACAGTTGAAAAAGAGAGGAAGACTGCACAAGTGGCCTAAAAACTAAGGTAATAAAAAGCAAGAATAGCATTCTAGCTATATGCAAATGAGCAAGACAAAGGATCCTGGGGCTCGAATCTATTCTTGCAGCAAAAGCAGCAAAGAGCTAAGACAAAAGAGATCCTTACAAGTAACAAAACACATTCTCTTAAAAGAAGAGGCGACGAGACATAAATGGAATATTTCAAATTATATTACAAATTCACTTCAAGACCTTTTTTCTCGGAAAAAAAAAATAAAAAAGAAGAAGAAAAGAAAAAAGAAAAAAGTACAGACAAATTGTGAATCACATCGTTTTCAAGATCACACACACCACACACACATTATTAGCTCCAATCCACACAAACACACACACTGTACGGCACACACACAAGTAAAAAACTAAAAATAAAGGAAAGAAAACGACACCCCACTTTCCCTCCATTCCCATTTTGCCCCTCAAACGCCCCAGGAGAGAAGGCCATAATCCATATACATATATTATATATAGTTATATACTCCTTCTAAATCACACACACACACACACTGAATGAAGCAAGACATGGATCAAATCCCAGCCGCACACTCGGGAGCTGGGACCGGGCTTCGAGACCGGTCAGTACAGTAGTCATAAATCATGTGGTTAGTCCTAACCCAACGGTACATACGGGCCTCCACCGGGCTCAGCTGTGCATAGGCTGCCCCCTCCCACCAATTGGCCCCGCTCGATGCACAGCCCGCGGGCCCAGGCACTGGGCAGCCCTCGATGTCAAAGTCCTTGTAGTAGGCGTAGAATGGGGCTTTGGCCCAGTCAATTTTCTCGAGCCCACCTCTTGTGGCCCAATCGTCCGCCTCCCACAGGGTTGAGTACACTCCCATCGCCTGCAACTTGGGAAATGGGATCCCACGCGCTTCGTTGTTCTTGTACACCCTTATTGGCACCTCATCAATGTAAAACCTGTTCCAATCAAATTTATTATTGTATAAAAGAAAAAAGAAAAAAAAAACATTGAGTCAAATTATAAATACTCTCTATATAAAATCAACAAATAGTGAATTGACACGTGTCCTGCAATAAATACACACAATTTCTGTATATCTAATAAATGTGTCTTTCTAATGATTGTAAGTCGATGAACTTACACAGTGTGATGATGGTTCCATAGGATGGTGTAAGTGTGGAACTCGACAGCCGGGTCAAACCAGAGGTTGATCCTCTGCTCTCGATTGCCTTTGCCATGGACGAAAACGTTCGTCTGAACAGTGTACGGCTGACCCGACCGATTTCCCAAGAACTCGAAGTCCAGCTCGTCACGTACATTGTCCGTGTCCGAGTTCATCTGTGTAAACATTATTAGAATATCACTTGTGAGTTGTTCCATATCGTTTATATAGGGAAAATAGATCTAACTTATAAGCATATTGGGTTATTACTCCTCCTTTCACCAATTGATTTTGGGATGTAACCTCACTAAGCTGCATCTAAATTCACCCTGCTATAGTGCGCATCTGTTTACCCCGATTCTTACAAACACGCTTCACATTTACATGCATGTCTTGATAAATGCGGTTATTATTATTATTATTTTGAATAATTGCTTAG